TTATTTTGATTTTGATATTCTGCTGAATCTAAGATCATTTTTACATTGATTTTTGATTTTTAAGAAACACGTTATATGTGTGTATATTGAATTATCGATTCTGATATTCTTCTGAATTTAAATGCATTCACACATTCTCCTAATTTTGAAAATTATGAATAATTTATGCATTATAATTTGTATAATCATGCATTGACAAAAAAAAAACATCTTAAAAAAAGCCCAAAACCAATACAACTTAGATTTGATCTTCTTTTTCTGGATTGGGATAATGCAAAAGTAAAGATCCAAACACCGGGCTATATTTTACGCATCCTAGATCATTTGCTTAGATTTGTATAAGCTTTTTTGGTTTTTGGTGTGGGGAAAGAGATGAAACCATGTTTTAATTTTGGGTAGGTGAAACTTTATTATAATTAGAAATAGGTGCATCAACAAACAAAGAGTCACTGATTAAATAACTCAGAAAAAGTTGTGTCCATAATATTTTTACAACTCAAAGAATGGATTTATTTAGGTGTCTATTCAACATTTGTAATTTTTTTTACCTTAAACTCCTTTTTTTAAGATAAGAATGATTCAATAGAGTCTTTTAACTGTCGTTAAACTCATTTTCCCTTGTAAATTTGTAACCCTAATTTAGGGTTGTACGAACTGGTAAGGCGTGCCTACGTCTTAACTATAGACTTCTTCTGCGATAGCTCAAGATGAATAAGTCGTGCCCACACCTTATGCGAAAACCTCATCTGGTCTTCGAATATAGCCCAATTTTTTTTGGGTTTTCGGATAATCCGAACATGTTTTTTATCAATCTATATCCGATCCTATAATCCGGAAAAAAATTTGGATACCTGTTTCGAACTATCCAAAAATTGAAAAACGGATCGGATATCCGAATTTTTGGACCGGATCAACGGATCGAATCGGTCGGATCGGATTTTTTTGCACACCCCTAGCTGTCAGGCGGGTTTAGCTGAGTACGTCTCCAATTGGGCAGTGAGTGTGGGGATGAATTTGAGAATGTACCAGCGTGGGCTGGTGTGGATTTAAATTTTTTTACCCATCATGGGTGGTGGACGGGTGATAGATTGGAAAATATTAGGTAGGTATGGGGATGGGGAGGGGGTAACGATGTCTATACATCTATACATCTAGTGGGCCACTCATATTAGAGGGACTATATGCCTCATTTCGTTAGTAGCATAAGAAGTCCATTGAAACTACAATAAATATATATAATTCTTTTCAAAATAATATTTTAATTATATAACAATAATTAAATTTAAATGCATACTCGCGTACCAACTTTTTGATCAAACAGTAGTTGAATTTCTTCTAATTCTTCCGATATACACATGACCACTTATTCAGTGTAAAAAATATTCATTATATACTAAAAAATTATTTATATACGAACTTAGTATTGAAATTACCTCAGTAATAACAGGAAGACTAACAAGTTCTTCACTACCAGACATAAAAAGGGCATGCGATACCACACCCATGATTGCAGAAGCATGAGACATTGTCGATGTCATTTTTTTATAATCAGTTGCTCAACACATTTCTCTATACAGAGATGCCAAAACTGAATACCCAATAACTCGAAAATCGGCGAGGTGACGCAACCACATACAATGACTTAGTTGCGAGATTTAGTGGGCATCAAGATCCATCATATCAATCATAATATGCAATCTCGGGCAACTCTTTTATCCTGTTCCTCGGAACATTCTTCACTCAAATGTTCAACATATGTTGCCAACCATGATAACGGTATTCGACCACCATTGAAATTAGGCGGGATACCTCCAAGATACTCCTCGCACAACAATTCCAGTGACCATCCACCACACCCGAAATGAAATCCCCATCTATTGGTAACCCCATATGTAAGGAAACATGCTCCAGTGTAATCGTTCACTCCCCACATGGAAGATGTAATGTGTGTGTCTCCGGTCTCCACCTCTCGACCAGTGCAAAAATAAGATTGCTTTCAAGGTTACAATGCCCTTCATATCTAGGTATGTAACCGAATCCAACCTTCACTAAATACGACCAGACAGGACTTGATATCTCTAACTTAGCATTACGAATAAATGGGTTTAATATACATCATTCCCCTAATTAAATAAATATTATACAAATTAAAATATAAGCTAATACTAAAAATAAATAAATAAAATATTCACAATAATTAACATAATACAATAATAAAACTAATACAAATTAAATAAATTGTTACTGTATCGACAAAATGACTCGCGATATGATTCCTATTTAAACGCAACAATCTGTATTCCATTTTATAACTATAAAACATATAAACTTTTAGGCAGTAAAATATAATAAAATAATTAACTATTTGATGATTATAATATAATAACAATAATGTTACCTTCTGAGAATAATGACATAACCTACTTGAGCTTTGTTAGAATGAGTGATAAGAAAATATTATTTTTGTTTTGTTGTGATTTGAGGGTTGTATGAGGGAGTATATATAGGAGATGGGGACGGGGTAATTAAGGCGGATGGTTTGGGGTAATTTGGAAGATCCGTGCCTTTGTCGCGTGTCAGAACCCCAGGAAGGCGCCGATGGTTATCCGTGCTTTACCCCTACGTGGTGTCAGCTCAGACGAACCCTAGGAAGACACGGATGGTGATTCACGCTTTACCCTTACGTGGATAGTGATCCATACCTTTTTGCCACGCTGTCACAAAAGGTGTTAGATCGATAAAATTAAGATGGTAAATACCTGACATGTAATTATTTAATTGTTGGTGATTTTTGGGTAAAGACACCCAAAAATTGGCTTTTGATATTTAATAACTAAATTAACAAAATTGAGAGAGGAAATTATTTTGCCCATAGATTTAGACACAATGACACTTAAACCTTTAGCGCTCGAAAAGTTATATGATAAATAATTTTTATTAACCTGATGTAAATACGAGGTAGTATATGTCTAAAGATAACTTTTAATTATTTAGCATTAAACGCTCACACCTCTGATATTCTAAATATTTGAATATTAGACCTAAAAGAACAACAATAATTTATTTACACTGAGATCACATAATTCATGTAATTGTTTGAGTAACATTTATAGATATTTACTATATTTAAGTTGAGAAAATCTCCATATAATAAAATTTTAAATTATTTAAATTGAATTAATCTATTAATAAATTGAATAAAAGTAATTATATTAAGATATTTTAATTGAATTTGACTTTCCATTAATGAGTTAAAGAAGCCACCGTTATTCAATAAATTCCAATTAAAATTAAGGCTTAAATATAAAAAAGTTGTTCAATGTATGCCTTTCCAGTTTGGTACCTAACGTTTTTCGTTCTAGTTTGGTTCCTAATATTTCATTACATAACTCAGTTTGGGTCAGGTAGTGACAGACCGTTAAGTTTGGTCGTTAAATGACCCGTGTCAAAACTGGTAATTATAAAAAATTGATTTTAAAATTTAAAAATAAAATAATATATATATATATATATATATATATATATATATATATATATATATATATAAAGAAAACACAAATTTTGAAATAAACCTAAAACTTTGAAAACTTCCATTTCATCCCCTAAACCCAAGCCGGCCACTGTCTTTTACCGTTGACGAAGCTTCACTCGACCTCCCCTCCCCTCGGTGACCAAAACCCCAATGAAATCGTGACCGATCAACGGCCGGTCGATAACAAATCAACGTTTTATACCCCGTGAACCATAGGATGAAAATCGTGATCCCAAGCGATTCGGACGATCGATCGGTCACGATTTCATAGGGGTTTTGGTCGTCGAGGGAAGGGGAGGTCGGATAGAGCTTCGTCAATGGAAAAAGGTGGTGGTCGGCGTAGGTTTAAGGGTTGAAATGAAGGTTTTCAAAGTTTTTGGTTTTATTTCAAAATTTGTGTTTTCTTTATATATATATATATATAATTTTAATTTTTTAAATTTAAATAAATTTTTTGAACTTACAAGGTTATGGCACGTGTCTCTTAACGACTAAACTTAACGGTCCGTCATGACCTGACCCAAACTGAGTTACGAAATAAAATATTAAACACTAAACTGGAACTAAAGTCATACGTTGGACATCTTTTTTATATTAATGATTTTTCTTTTTTAAAAAAATCCAATAAAAGATTAATGAATTCATAAATAAAACCTTTATAACTTCACCAATAATTGTTTATTAAATAATTTTTTTATAAAAATATATTTCGTATAAAATGTTTTTATTTATTCATATTATAAATATGTCAATATTTAATAAATATGTAAAATATGTATTATATATGCCTTTCACCAAATCCAATATGATACGATGATGATCTGAAATTTGACAAATTGAACCCACCAAATAAGTTGTTTTTTTGGCATTTTAGGTGATGAAGCAAAATAATCATGCAGGTAAATATTGCCATGATTATACACAGAAATAAACATCTCAAGCTCTTTTATTTAAAGATTTTTTTATTAAATTAAAGTGATTATAAAATTGTAAATATTTTTAATTATTTTATTATAATAAACGTTCAATTATTCTTATTAAAATTGTTGATATTCGAACCTATAATCTCTAGAAATATTAACAATTCTTTTAACCATTCAAATAAATCTATTAAACTCAAATTTCAGTTCAAGAAAAAATAGTGATAAATCAAAAAATATCTTTTAGTATGTAGGCGTGTATATTAATAATATGATTTTTATATGATTTAAACCGTAAATAAAAGTGACGCGAACCAAACCCATTGCCGACAGTCAATCACTGAGTCACCCCATGTTCGAGTTTACATAAGACATCAAATTGAACCAGCTTAAAACTGATGACTATGGTATTTGCAACAGAAGCTGAATAGACGATGAATTTCTGCAATATTGGATCTATATTAATATGAGAGGTTCAATGGCTTCTTTTTATTCAAAATGAGGTTTCCATTTCTACAGACATTGTTTCTTTTTTAAGGGAGAGAAAGAAACACTATGGATGACCATAACCTGGAAGATCAGAGTCAAGCCATTGACTTGGATTCAAAGAAGAACCATCTGTGTTCTTGCTGGTGTTAATGTTGTTGATCCTCCATAAAGCTGCCGCTGCTTCTGAGATTATAGGATTAGTATTGTCGATGAAACTTTGATACCATGAATTGTCGTTTTGATGATCCACTGAGTACATGTTTAGAGCATTTTGATCTCCATCAGCACCCATTTGTAAGAACTGTGTCTGCTGAATCTGCAAAAGACCCAAATTTGAAGACCCACCACCGATACTTTGATTAAAAGGTTGCTCTTGGTTCATTGATTGAATTGCCGTTGAAGATGATAAGAACCCATCACCATGATACAATGATCCCACTGAAGAAATACGAGATGATGGAGCCGCCGGAGCTTGTTGTGGTGGAGGTGGTGGTATCTGCGGCTGAGACGACCTTGGATTTTCACCGGAGGAAGAACCCTTCGAGCGTTTCCCTTTCCTGCAACCACCGCCGACGGGCACGTTCCGCAGGGTTCCACCTTGAGTCCAGTACCTCCTGCAACTCTTGCAGAAATAACGGGGCTGGGAGAGACTGTAATTGTTGTAGTAACAAAACTTTGTGTTAACCGAGTCACAACGAGGACACTTTTGAGGTTGCTGTTGATTGTTATCTCCGGCCGCAGTCAACGGCTTCAGCCTCCGATGATCTTGTGGCGGCTGCTGCTGCTGCATATCTTTATTATGATATATCGTTATCTTGTTTGCATGTCTAAAAAGAAAACGATGGCTTTCGCTTAAAAGAACACATCCAAATTATGAAAATATCCCATTAAAAACTTGACAAAATCTTCACAAAGAGGAGAGAAAATCACATACTAAATGCGTATATGAATGTACGAGTATTTAGATTTGGCTGAATGAGTGGCTTTTAAGATAGGGTAAAAGAGAAAAGAGGTGTACGAGTGTCGGGCGTGGGCAAAATCCACTAAGGAGAGGTCTCCATCAGGTGAAAAAAAGGTGAAAATTGCTGGTTCAGTGAAAGTACACAGTGAATTAATGATCATAGAGAAATGCAAATACTTCGAATCCAAGAAGAAAAAACAAAAGAGAAAGCACCAGTTGCTTCACCTGATTCATTATCACACCCCTCACGGTGGTGCAATACTAAAACAAGTGGCGCGCCGGTCGGTGATGGGTGGTGGAATGTTGAGGCTTCGGTTAACTATATATATATTGATATTGATAATATTTTAACAATGTACATTTTACAGATAAGTTGCTAAAGTTGAAAATTTTGAAGGGAATGATATTTTATTTTGTCATTTAATGATACATTTAAATTTAAATTTAAGTCGTATTTTAATGGGATCATAAATAAAATACTTTACCAACAATTGATTAATTTAGTATGATGAGACATTAAATCTTTTAAGTAAAATTAGAAATTTGAATCGTGATATTTACGAATGGAACAAATTTAATGTTGTGTTAGTAAAAAAAATTAGCTGACCCTATTCCCATATGTAATAGGATAAAGGGGAGGTAGGATAGTAAGCTGCCCCCAACGCCAGGTTGAGAGCAGCTTCCGTGGAAGACCTCCGGCAGAATTATGAATTGCTCCCCATGGGACTCGATCCCACGACCACAAGGTTAAGAGCCTTGCGCTCTACCAACTGAGCTGGACGGGCAATAACTTAATCATAAAATAACCAAATTTTAGACTCCTTTATTTTATAACCAAAGGCATAAATGAACAGAAGAATAATCTTAAATCATAATTAAAAGAGCTGAAGAAATAAGAATGGAGTTCTGTATAAATCTCAGTTTTTGCAAATGAATCATTGATAATTAATACATGAAATATGAAGTTTTCGCTTCGGCTCCGACACCAAATGGTGCTCATGCTTCTGCTTCCTCAAGTGCGTGAAGAGCAAACATAAGGAGAAGGAAGCGTAGAGGAGCTAATGATCGGAGTGTCTCCGATGTGATTTGCCTTGTGTTCGATGACATATTCACTTGTAAAACTATCCAAATGTTAAGAAAAAAAAGGCAATTAGTTCATCCAGTTAAACTGATTCTTGTTGATTATCTTGTACAATCTTTCGCTATCAAGTCCATCTCTTGCATTTGATGTTCGAAAGAAACTAAACCGGTCTGTTCAAGGAATCTACATAAGTAATCCAATCAGTAAAATTCAGGGTTGTATGCAGAGTAACAGATTCCAACTAGAAAAAAAAGATTAAGAGATTAAATTTCGCTGCTCCGAATCATCATCCCCATGCATATATAATTACACACTTGCATAAAGATCATCATAAGAAAAAAACACTCATTTCAGGCTGCATCCCTCCACTTCATTGTTCTAAAACTGAGAAAAAGAACTAAGCAAGCATGCAAGAATCGACATCTTCAAAACTAAATTCCAAGCCCCCTACTTAAACTTGTTATCTAAACCATGTCATGTTAGGTCCAACCCTAATTGAAATTGACATAGTTAATATAGAAAAATATACCCTGTTTCTCCAAGTATGCTCTCAGATCTAATATAGAAAGTTTGTCTAATGACCCATACATAGTTCCCTGGTTTTGTTTCGAGCTATGTTGTTCATCATCCGTGTCCGACACATGAATATGAGACACCATTACTAAGGATAATTCAAATACATGAAAAATCTTTAAAAAAATTTAACCATAGACATGAATCTGACACTCCCATTACAATTAGCACTAGAATCTGAAAAATCTTTAAAAAAGTTAACCATACTCATGAATCTAACACTCACACTCGAATCTGAATCTGAGTAAAATAACATTCAATTAATGATCAAAGCATGAATAAAACATGATGCAACTCCAAAATTCATGAAAAGCTAGAAAATTTAATATTGACTTGACTGGGTAAAAATCTAGCAAAGAATTAAGAAATAGTACCAGTTAAGAAGCAAGAAGAGGGCAACGACAATTAGAACGAGGAAAACAACATGAAGAATCAAAGAAGAGTCATTAAAAGAGAAAGCTAAACCCAGCATAACAGCAAGTCAAAGACCCAACATCAGAAACGTCGATTTTGTTGAAAAGTCAAAGATAGGTGGTGCATAAATACACCAAAAGTAGCTGGAAACTTGGCACCGAAAAGTAGCGGGAAAATGTTGAATTTTATGGTAAGTGATAATTGCAATTTAGTTCTAGCACTTTAGGGTATTTGCAAGATTAGTCCTTAAGTTTTAACTATAAATACCCTAACCCATTTGAGAAAATAAAAATGAAGATAAAGAAGACACAAATTTTATGCAGAAAACCCTAAATAATATAGGGTAAAAACCACGGGCAAAGGTAGAAGAATTTCACTATGAGAAAATAGGAATTACAACTTTTGTCGATCTAACAAGGAGAAAACAATGACAATTCTCTCTTGATAAAAAGGAGAAAACAACTCTCAAGAAACTCTCTAATTTCTCTAGTATTGGGAGAAAGTTAGAATGATTTGGGATGATTTTGAAGCTAAATGGGTTAGGGTATTTATAGTTGAAGCTTAAAGATTAATCTTATAAATACCGTAAAGTCCAGGGACTAAATTTGAGATTTTATCATTGCCAATTTTCAACAATTTACAGCTTCAATTTTCGGTGCCAACTTAATTTGACTTTCAACAATCTCCCACTTGAAGATTTGATTGGAACAATCATATCTTCACACCATTCTTTCTACCTTGTACCTCTTTGCTGTATTCCAATGCTCTTTGCCTGGATTCTCCATGTATCGACTAACTACTCCCACTGCTTGTGTAATGTTTGGTCTTGTGTATATCATAGAGAACATTAAACTTCCCACTGCCGATGCATACGACACTCGAGACATCTCAATCCTCCCTTCTTCACTACTAGGACTCATACTGGAGGATAATTTGAAGTTAATAGGAAGAGGGGTAGAAATTGGCTTACAATCTTGCATGTTGAATCGTGATAAGATCTTATTCAAGTAATTATTTTGTGAAAGCCAAATCTTCCTACTACTTCTGTCTCAGTGAATTTGCATCGCTAGAATCTTGTTTGCTGATCCCAAGTCCTTCATTTCAAATTCCCTAGCCAATTGTGCCTTCAATTCTTCAATATGATCTTTGTTGGGTCCTGCAACCAACATGTCATCCATATACAACAGCAATATAACAAAATCGTTATCACCAGACCTCTTGAAATAAGCACAAGGGTCTGCATTAAGTATGTTGTATCCAAGGCACATAATTAAAGGAATCAAATCTCTTATACCAACACCTCGAAGCTTGATTTAGACCGTACAAAGATTTATTCAACCTGCAAACCAAGTTCTTCTTTTCTTTTTCTTTAAAACCTTCAGGCTGGAGCATATAAATCTATTCTTCAAGATCTCCATGAAGAAAAGCTGTTTTAACATCCCTGTTGATGATCACTTTGCGGGCAGTGGGATCCCATAAGCGATACCCCTTTACTCCATCAGCATACCCCAAGAATTTGCATTTCCTGGATTTTTTTGATCCCATATCTCCTTAGCTGTCTTCTTCTCCTCATTGCTTGACAATACTTCATCTCCTCAGGATGGCCTTCATCTTTAATTTCCACAATGAGAAATTTCTCCTATTGAACTTTTCAATATCAAATTTTGTTGACATAACTTCTATTACGGATAGCTCCCACTATTTCACTATCGTGAATAGTTATTTGGAACCTTCAAAGAATGGGTAATACCTTCTTACTTTCTTATGTTGGAGGATTCACCTTTTGGTGGCAACCACAAAGACAATAAGTAGATATTACACACTCAGATCTGGCTCTGATATCAATTATTATGGAATACGGCTATCAGATAGAACAAAATCGCAACTGATAATTTGAGAAAATAAAAATGAAGATAAAGAAAACATAAATTTTATGTGGAAAACCCCTAAATAATATAGGGTAAAAACCACGGACAAAGGTAGAAGAATTTCACTATGAGAAAATAAGAATTACAACTTCCCTCGATCTAACAAGGAGAAAACATTGGCAATTCTCTCTTGATAAAAAAAATAAAACAACTCTCAAGAAAACTCTCTAATTTCTCTAGTATTGGGAGAAAGCTATAATGATTTGGGATGGTTTTGAAGCTATAATGATTTGGGATGGTTTTGAAGCTAAATGAATTAGAGTATTTATAGTTGAAGCTTAAGGACTAATCTTATAAATATCCTACAGACCAGGGACTAAATTTGAGATTTTACCATTGACAATTTTCAACAATTTACAACTTCAATTTTCGGTGCCAAACTTTCTGTGCCAACTTAATTTGACTTTCAACAGATTTTAGTGTATTCCATGTTGGAGCCTGAAACCCAAACAACAAAAAGATTCAAACTAGATACAAGTGGATGCAAATATCATGTATAATAGATCATCGAAAAGGGAATTGAACCGACATTGACACCAGGAGCTAAAGCTCCGAGTAAAACTGCTTAGGCTGAAGATATATCGCCTCCAATTGACTGTTCCTTTTCCATTTGAGTTTCGCCTTGGATCTTTAGATCTTGAATTTGAGACTCAGCCCTCTGGAAGAAAAGGCAGAGACCACTCGAGAGGGATGGAGCCAAAATCCCTAAAACTCTTGTTTTGAGAATTAAGCAAAGGAAATAAATTCATTGGGTTAGCAGGTTTAGGTAGTTCAAAATAAACCAAACCGGTTGGATCGGATTATATTGTTTTGGGTAAATAACGAGTTTAGTACTTTAACTATCAGTTTTGGTCCATTTAAATACCTGAACTTTTAATTCTTTTAAAAAACATACTTAAAGTTTAGTTTTTATTTCATTTTAGTACTCCTCCATTAAAAACTTTAGTTTTTGTTTTATTTTAGTGTCCGTTCAAAATTTAAAATTAAATTTTGGAAAAAAAATAGAACTTTAGGTATTAAAACAATAGGATACTAAAATGA